TCAAATTATAGGAGGATCTGGTGGAGGAGGAAGCGGCGGTGGCGGTGGAGGAGGTGGAGGTTTTAGTAGCGGATTTGGTTCAGGATTTGGATTTGGCTTCGGTAGCGGTCAGGGTTCAGGTTTAGATGGTAGCGGCGGTGGTGGCGGAGGCGGCGGTGGTGGTGGCGGAGGTGGAGAGAATGGTGGTAGCGGTTATGGCTTTGGAATAGGAGAAGGTTTCGGTGGAGGTGGTATCTGATCCAATAAATTTGCCGCATTGAAGAATAATTGGAAGTCAGAAAACAAAACAAAAAACAATAACAATTTGAAGTTGGCCGAGGCTTTAATTTTATGTTTTAAGCTTATTATGTGAGAATATTTACCATTTGAAGCTAGCACTGTCCCATCTGATTGTACAAAATGAAGATTGAAGAATAAAGGCATGTTTTTGCTGACAATTCATGAACTTGTTTGTTTTAACTGATCTTTGTTTCCTTCCTGTAATTCACATTTCTTGACGGGGAACAATTTGCTCAATGGAAAAATCCAAAATGCGAAATTTAATGCGCATAAAAATAGAAAACTAATGTTAAAATTGCATAAAGTGTAATCATAATTATTATAGTTAAAATGAAAAAGAATCTTAGAGCCTGTTTGGCCAAGCTTCTAGGAGGCCAAAAGTACTTTTTTTTCTCTATACTTTTTAAAAAATTTAAGTTGTTTGGCCAATACAGAGAAGTACTTTTGGCCAGCAGCAGAAGCAGTTTTTCTGCATCCAGAAGCAGAAAATTCTAGCTTCTTCCAAGAAGCAGAAGCAGAAGTGAAAAATTAATCTATTTAAGAAAAAACTATCCTCACCATACATTTATATTTTCCAAATTATCCCTTACTAATTTAAGTTTTTTTTTTTATTTTTTCTAGTTTTTATCATTCTTTTAATATTAAAGATATCATATATATGAATCATATTGTTACTTTCTAAATCCTTTATTGACCTTTCCTGTTTTTTGATTTTTTTGTGTAATGTCTTGTAACTTTCCAAATTATCTTCTTCTTTTTTCATACTAAAGCAAATTATCTACATCCTTCTTTGGATTATCAATTCTCTTCCTACAAATAATCATTTATAATTTCCTTTGTTAGATGTTATTAGTTCCCGAATCTTTAAACACTTATCAAATCTAATTTGTGAAAATTACCTACAAATAGGTAATAATTTCACAATTGCATCGTATAATCTATTAATATATTATTAAAAGAAGAAAAAGTATCACACATTAAGCCAAGTGACAATAGGCACTTGGCAATTTAGGACAAAGTTAGTAAGGTTAGGTAATACTAATTAGTTTCTTTTTGAATTTAAATTTTAAAAAAAATTAAATTATACATTATGTGTTGTTAATGGGTAATTAGTTACTCTTTTTGAATCTGAATTTAAACGTACTTAACTATTCTTTTACAAAAAAAAATTATTTTTATATATTTAAAATTATTCTATTTTACGCTCAATGTCATCTTTAAAGTTTGACACTCAGAATCATCTAGTTACAATTATCATGGCTATACAAAATTTCATCCGATGACATTCTTCTACCGATAAGGAATTCAATTATTATGCTAATGAAAACATTACTGCAGAGACTGAGGAAGGAGTTAGACCTTCTGATATTCCTTTAGAAATGCAAGGCAAGTATTCTACTAATATGGAGGCGTTCTGTGATAGACGCAGAGATGAAATTGTTGAGAAATATTATCATGTGTGAGTGACTTTACTTATTATTTCATGGTAGATTATCAGTATATAGTAAATGAATTGGCCAAACACAAACTGTTTTTTTTAAAGCACTTTTGAAAAAAGTACTTCTGAAAAAAAAGTACTTTTTAAAATAAGCAGATTTTTGCAGTTTGACCAAACGGGCTCTTAGTCATTGGAAAATTTGTTTAAATTTTCAAACAGTATAGTGCTTAACAAAGAGGAAACAAAAAAGTTACAGGAGTACTTATTAAGGGAGAGTAATTTATTTTTAAACCCCACTATCTCATATTTCCCTTTAGAATTTTTACTTTTCTATACTAATTTGGAAAATTATTTAGCCTTAGTATTGAGGTTTTAACTTAATTACTACTTCATATATAAATTACCAATTATATATATTTTTAGTATTAATAATTAGGGAAAATGAGATTGTATTAATTAAGTGTTCCCTAATTAATTATAGCTTACAAACCTCAGATATCTTCTCCAAATCAAATCTTTGTACAATCGAATCAGTCGATTTTTCAAGTTAATCCAATTGCAGTCGTTGTTGGATGATAAAAGAGGGAGTCTAGCTGAAACATCTAGCAATAATGGGGTCCAAGAAGAAACTAATTAATTCCCAGAAAAGTTTTCGTTTTGCTTCTCCAGTTAAGGAAATGCCAATTATCTTTGTGCGAAGCTTAATTAAAAAAATTCTTGAACAATAATGTGGCAGTAATTAGGCGAATCTGTTGGGTTAGATTTTTTTTTTTTTTAATCGGATGTCCCCGAAGGGACGGGTTAGATATTTTGAAATAGTGAAAAAAGTCATATATTAAAAATCTCCATTGACGACCATTAAAAAGCTTTGAAACTTTAAATTCAAAAATTGATTTTTGTGAAATTGTTATTTTTTTGGATTGGGTATATTGTTGCAAATGAACGGGAATATCCTTTGTAGTTTATATATCAATTTTGAGAGATTTTCGTGAAGATTCGAGGTGGTTTAGGTTAGAGTTTCATATTGAAACTCAAAGAAGTCATACAAAAATTGTATATATTTTGTATATCGGGTGTAAAAACGGCATACACAAAATATACAATTAACATAGTTGTATAAAAATTATATATGAATTGTAGTTTTGACCGGATTTCGTACAAAAAAAAATTGTATCTAAGTCATATATAAATTATAGATTTTGACCGGATTGTATATATTTTGTAAAAAGAACTTCAGATATTTTCTGTAAATAGGAAAACTAAAATAACCTGGATAAAATAATTTAAAATTTCATATATCTATCTATCTATATCTAAATTGCTATAAAAGCACGAATGTTGAAACGCTATATTTGAACGACAAAAACATCCTTGAAATGTTAATCGACTTTTATACCCTTAAAAGTTTAATTCTTTTTGGGAAAACACAATACCATAGTGGGTACAATTGCAAAATTTAAAATTTTGCTTATAATAGAACTCTAAAACCAACCAAGATTTTAGAAAATCACCGCCACTAGCCCACTTCATAAAGGAAGCATACCTTATTCGTAATGGGAATTCTAATTCAGTTCAGCCTTACAACTCTATGTCATTTATATAAGGAAAACTAATTGTTAAGGAATTATTTGTAAGAGACGTGCATATTTTTTTTTTATTTAACTTTGAGAATTATCATCAATTGTCAACATATTTTAGTTGTGATTGCAGGCCGAAGGTGGTTATGTTGCTTTGCGATACAACAGTTGAGTTCTTTATTATTTTCTTGAAATTCTGTATTACCTGCTATCCCCGAAGCATGTTCTCCTCCCATTTAAAATGTTTGTTCTTGTTATTTTCCTGTTGTAGATATATATATAACTGTTCAGGTTTATGTGGTAGTCCTATCTAGCTTCGTCACTACTTCGCCGAGGTTAGGCTAGGCACTTGCCAGCACATGGGGTCGGTTGTGCTGATACTACACTCTGTGCTCTTTTGCACAGACCCAGGTCCCGGACGGCAGCAGTAGCTCGGGAGCCAGCCTTCAGTCCACCGAGACTCCGAGGTAGCCTTGCACGCGTCCACAGGCTCGGCGTCTCCTCTATCATATACTCCATTCTGTTATCTCATGTTTTCGAGACGAACAGTGTTATATTTCTTTCAAAGGATTGTATTTAGTACTCTTAGTAGTCCGTGGATGATGTGACACCAATTCTTGGGTAGAGGCACATGTTGAATTCTGCATTATTGTTCAGCTTATTTAATTTAAGTCTTCCGCTTTAATTTCATATTCCGCTGTCATTTAAATATTTAACGCTTGTTGTTATGATAGATAAAAGGATTTAAAATGATAGGTAGGAGTTTATGTTTTGTGGCTTGCCTAGCTTCTACGAGTAGGCGCCATCACGACTCCCGAGGGTGGGGAAATCCGGATGGTGACATTGCTCATTTGGTAAATTTTTTTTATGTGCTTTATATTTAAATATCTTGATATATTAGAGAATATATGATGAGAATTATGGTTTGTTAAATTATTGTTGAGATAGATCGAGAAATTTTTACTTTTTTTTCACCATAAATGAATTTCTTCGCTTTGTATATGTAATTTTTTAAATTGAGTTTCTTTTTTAAAAATTAGAATTAACCAATTCCATTTAGACTCGGCTATCTACAATGAGAGAATCCTAAAACCACGGCCTTCCAAATTACAAGTATAAATTTCGACAATGTCGTACGTGCACAAGCAATAATTACATGATAGGTCACAATTAATTTTCTAATATTCGGACATTTTAGAATTAATACTCTATTAAAAATTAGAGAATTTTTCATAAAACACCACCTTTTAGTCCTAATTAGCTATTTATAGATACCCTTTGCTATATTACGTTTTATAGATACCTTTTATGTTTTTATACAATGTATTTCATGTATTTAAGATGTTGTATTCATTAATACAACAAAAAGAATAGGCGTAAAAACGGGAACTCCAGCTAAGTGTTATCTGTATTTAACTGTAATCAAGCGCAATTAATGTGAAATACAGTAACGTTTTTGCGCAAATTCTGGGAACTTAAACTTGTTAAAAACGGAAGAAAATCAAATCACATGATAGTCTCCTAATTTAACTCAAATAACTAAAACGAGTACACATTAATCTGTATTCTGCTCAAAGAAAGCAACTCAGAAACCTGAAAAGAAGGAAAAACCAGAGCAACATCTGATCGAACTTCTTCAATTCTCTTCTCCTTTTTTTCTATTGATACAAATTATATACAAAATAAGGTATAGTTGCTCTATACATATGGCAAGTTTAACAGTTTTGTTGTGTCGTTCTGGCAAGTGGAACGATGAGGACAATTATATCGATTTTTCAATTGAAGGAATACTAATTAAGGAGTATGCCTCCTTTAATGATCTACTTGCTTCAATTTTTAATCAACTGGGTATAGATTTGAGCACAAAGACCATTAAAATACAATACAAAATAGATGGAAATTGCACGCCAATGGAAATACACAATGATATGGGTTACAGAGTGTATGTAGAATTGAAAAAAGAGAACAGAGAATTTGGGATGTATCCTTTGTGCATAACAACTATCGAAAAAGAGCTTATTCGGAGGTAGTTTAAATCAAGGCGACATTGTGCAAATAGACGAAGCAGTTCAAAGGAAAGGTTCCGATACAGATGATACACTGGCTATAGAATTTGTCAATTCAAGAGAAGCGATTGGAGTGTTCGAACTCCACAAGGATTTGATAATTTCAAAAACTAATCAAAAGGAGGTTATGGCTGGACAAGTTTATAAGGATAAGGCTACATTGAAAGAGGTGATGGAGAATTATGCTATAGCTCAAAGGTTTCAATTCCGGGTTGATCGGTCTAATGCTGTCAGGTTTGCATGTATTTAAATTTTTGGTTCCTTTGTATTGTCCATTATTGATTCGCGCCGTTTGTTTAACGTAGTGGTATTTATGCGTATTTGTGTATTTCGTCCTGATGATCACAGATGAAAACATATGTTTGTTTAGGGTCCTTAAATACATGTATTCAAATGTATTTTACTGGTATAAAAACACAACAGTGGCTCTAATTTCTTATCAAGTCTACTGTGGTATTAAGTGTATGCATATACAAACAAGTGTTCAGATGTATTCATTGTATTTAAACGCATATAACTAAAATGAATTCAGTAGTATACAAATTTATATATATGTATATATGTAGGGATGTATATATGCCAGATTGTATTTGTCTGTATATGAGCTGTATTTTTTGTAAACAATTATGCTAATCAAATGTAAAATGATTAATTATTTGCAGCTATGCATTATTATGTATTTCAGAAGATTGTGAATGGAGGTTTAAGGCTTCAAGCATTAACAAATCAGAACTATTCAAGGTGAGAGAATTCAATGATAACCATACATGTCCGCTGAAGGACAAGGTGTACGAGCAGCGGCAGGCAAGTAGCAGCCTTATAGGTGGAATTATAAGGCCAAAGCTTACAAACCATAAGAGGAAATACACTCCGAGGGATATTATTGATGATGTGAAATCAGATTTAGGTGTAGATGTTAGCTACATGTTGGCGTGGAGGGCTAAAGAAAAGGCAATGAATTTTCTGAGAGGTGAACCGGCTGATTCGTACAAAAAATTACCAGGATACTTATATACAATGGATATGACATATCCAGGTTCCCACATCAGAATGGTAAAATCGCCAAAAAATGAATTCATGTACGTGTATATATCATTGTATGCCTTTATAAGGGGGTTTGATCATTGTAGACCAATTGTTGTTGTGGATGGAAGTCACCTAAAATCTTACTACACCGGGACATTCGTTTCGGCAAGCACGTTGGATGGTGCAGGTGAGTATCTGAATAATAATACAATCTGTTAATATTTTAAATATTGAAATACATGTTTTAAAAATAATTATATTCAATTGTATTTACAGGTCATATATTGCCACTAGCATATGGTGTTATTGATTCAGAGAACGATGCTGCTTGGACGTGGTTCTTTGAGCAATTCAAGATAGCATACGGTGTAAGGGAAAAGATGTGCATCATTTCAGATAGAAATGAGAGTATCATTAAATCTGTATCGAGAGTGTATCCAAATGTACCACATTTTTCTTGTATATGACATCTATGGAACAACGTATATAAGAAATTCAACAAGAGCCATGCCAAGTTGAGCGAGATATACTTCTCGATGGCAAAAGCATACATACAAGCTGAATTTGACAGTCTGATGGAGAAGGTGGAGAAGATAGATATTAGGGTGAAAGAATACTTAGAGTTAGCTGGTTACGAAAAGTGGGCTAGGTTGTATGCACCTGTTAACAGGGGATGGACAATAACGTCAAATATTGCTGAGTCAATCAATGCTGCACTAGTTTCAGCAAGGGAATTGTCAATATACGACTTCCTCGAAGAATTTTAGGAAGATGGTCTTTGGACGTTGGGAATTGTAGTAACCGCAAAGAAGCTACACAGACATACAAGACGCTTGGGAAAAAATACCAGAGATGCTGGAGTTGAATGAGACAATGTGTACACGTATTGACTCGTAAGTTAAATTTTAACTGTCATTTGCTGTAATATATAGTTTTTAGTTATTTTCTAATTAGTGGCATGAATACAACTGAATAACAATCATTTTTAAGTAGAAAACATCCATTAATGTAATTGAATACAACTGTATGCTCAAGCCACATAAAAGACATATTTGCCCATAAGATCTGATATGAAAACAACTGATATAACTAAAAACATGCTGGAAAAAACAATTGGAAATACATCAGAATACAACTAGCTCTATGATATGTAATTTTTATATGTATTGTGAATACGTAAATACGATGATTCTAATGCTTCGTTAGCATACTGTTGCCTAAAGTACAACAGACTTTTGATAAGTTCTGCACTTCTCGCAGTTGATATTTTGGTGGTCTAAATATATGATGTATTCTTATATATGCAAATGTTTCAGTTGTATGTAACTTATTAATTCAGCATTATACATTTGGTAATTCAGGTAAATGTGTTCAAAACTTATATTTCTATTTTTAAATGTAGGTGGTACCATCAACTAAATACTTACATACGGTTAACGCTGGTGGGAGGAATTACACAGTCTGCCTGTTAGAGAGAAAATGTATTTGTGGGAGGTTCCAAATTGATGAATTGCCATGCCCACATGCTTGGGCTGTATTGAAGAGCAAGTTTCTAATGCCAGAAGAATATTGCTCTAACTATTACAAACCAAGTACAATTGTAATGACATACGATGTGCCAGTGTACCCGCTACCGACAAAAATGACTGGAATATACCAGAACATGTTGCAGAAGAGGTTGTACTACCACCCAAATGGAAAAGACCTCCTGGAAGGCCAAAGAAGAAGCGCGATAAACTTTAAGTGAATTGCTGCAGCCGAAAAATCAACATTCATGTAGCATATGTGGGCAGGGAGGACATAACAAGCGAACGTGTAGAAATGCTCCACGTAATAAATAGTTAACACTCTGACATGTATTGGTGCTTCAACGATTTGTCAATACTTTTGATGACATTATCAGCTATAATAAATTCTCTTTTTCAAGTAATATATTTTGAAATGACTTTCTTGAATATTTTCTGAATACATTTAGTTGAAGTATTTTTATACAGATAAATATAGGAAATTTTACACCCTATAGAAAACCTTAGTATCTATAAGTAAGTTGAATACATATGAATACATATGAATTCATTTGAATACATTTGAAAACTTACTGAAAAATTGAATAGTTGCAAACAAAAATAACTAAAGCTGAATACACATGAATACTTATGAATACAAGTAAAACTTACTGGAAAATTGAACATTTGGAAACTATCAAAATACATGAAAATACATATGAATACATATGAATACATATGAATACATATGAATTCATTTGAAAACATTTGAAAACTTACTGGAAAATTGAATAGTTGCAATCAAATATAACTAAAGCTGAATACACATGAATACTTATGAATACAAGTAAAACTTACTGGAAAATTGAACATTTGGAAACTATCAAAATACATAAAAATACATATGTATACATATGAATACATATGAATACATTTGAATACATTTGAAAACTTACTAGAAAATTGAATAGTTGCAATCAAAAATAACTATTGAATACATATGAATACATCTTAATACAACTGAATAATACATTTAAACTATTGAATACTTATTTTTTATGTATTCAAATTATGCTGAAGACATCTGAATAATACATTTAAATACATATGAATGAATGTAGCTGAATACAATTGAATTTGACAGTTAAATACAATTGAATACAACTGAAAGCAAAAAAAATACAGCTGAATTCTTTTGTATAACATACCATCAGCATATATAAAGTTTCTGACTTTGACATTAACATGTTTATTAACTAAAACATGTTCAAGTAAAGTTACTTGGTATTAATACACATTTGACTCCTGTAAGATAAATATATATTCAAACTGAAGAATAAGCATGAATACTTATGAACAAACCAAGTGAAACAGTCATTGAAAAGTTGCAATTGTCATACACGAACACTGTTGCTATAAGTGATAAGTTTTTCAATCTAAATAGCATCTATACCCAAAACTACTCAAAACAGTATTCTTCTTGAAACTACACTCCAAAACTACAATAACCTAAAGCTATTCTAACACTATCTGCATCTTTGCCTCCGACTCAGTGATTTGCCTAGCAATCTTTGAAGGTGCTTCATTCTCGCTTATGGCATCAGCGTCTATCTTGCGCATAGCATAGTCTCATAGGAGAGCACCATATCTTTGACGGAGTAGAGTGGAATCAAATGTTGTTTTTGGAATCTCTCCAAGAGTGCTCAGAAACTCTGCGTATGCTGCAACATGCACTCCACAATCCCTAAAAAGTAATTGATTGAAATAATTAAAAATAATTCATACAATTAGATTTGTATATAACATACAAGAATGATGATTGAATACTTACATGCTCCCAGCTTTCTGTTGAGGCAGATCTGAAACGAGAAAAACTTCAAAGGGATCGTTATGTGACTTGTCAGTGTATGCTGAATAAGCAGACCAATCTATGCCTTGACTATCTCTGTAAAAGCCACTGATTGATAGATACAGAGGTAGAAGCTTAGCTAGCTTATCAATCTCAGAAACTACATAGGCATCATGACCTGCAGATCTGTACGAGTCATACACTTTGATACATCTCTCCTTGAATGTGACAACAGCCAATACCCAGTGTAGTTTGTCCTTCAAGTTGACTGGTATCAAGACATTATCCATAGTATGCCAAGGTACATTGGCATGCAATCTGTAGCCCCTCATGTACTCACATACCACATCCTCTTGTTTGGCTACATTAGCATTACTATCTACATCAGCATACCTGTCGTATATTTCAGCGATTCTTGTCTTAAATATACAATCAATAGTTGTATACTTGAAGTTGCTTATTTGATTGTACTTCCCCTTCTTTCTCAAATAGTAGAATATGACGTCAATATGCTATACACAAAAGAGGTAAGTAGATGGTGTGAGTCCAATTAATTGAACTATTAAATAATATAGCTAAATACAGAGAAATACATATGAAAGTACAGTTGAATACAACAGACTATATGTGAATAAAATTGTTGACTACAACTTACTACATATTAGTACATCTGATTAAACCAATTCAGTATTTTTTTTAAAATATATTAAGATGAATTATAGTGAGTAATACAACTGACTACTTATGATTTAAACAGTTGTATATGACTGTCTAAACCTGAATACATCTGGATCCAAAGAAATTAGGTTGAATACAGATGACTACAGCTGATTAAAGCATTTGAATACAGATGACTACAGCTGATTAAAGCATTTGAATTCAACTTAAAATATAGCTAAATACTTCTGATTTTAAAAGTTGAATAAAGCTGAATATAGACATAAGACTAGAGCATTACGAGCTAGCTTCCTATAACTCTTTCTAAATCCCGGGAAGAATGTATCCGCTTGGTAGGCATAAGTGGTGTAAAGTGGCCTTGAAAGAAGCAAGCCTACTCTTGAAATCAGCTGACTACAGCTGATTAAAGCATTTGAATTCAAGTGAAAAATATCTACTATAGATGAATACAGATGTTTAATAAAGATGAATACAAATGCAGTTGAAATTAGCTGAATACAAATGAATATAGGTGTTAAATAAGGCTGTATACGAATGCCCTTGATTACAAAAGAATTCAGGGGATTAAAACAGTTGAATTTAATTGAAATTCCCTGAATACAGATGAATACATATGTTGAATAATACTGAATATAGCAATTGAATACAATTGACTCTAGGTGGTTAATACAGTTCAATTCAACTGACCATAGTTGAATACAGCTGAATACACCAAAATACAACTAAATACAGCTGAGTAAAACAACAGAATACAGCTGAAGGAAACAACATGTTGTTATTCAAAGAAAATTAGTCAGTTTGGGGAAAAAACTTACGTTGTCATCCCATAGCTTCCCGTCAATTGATAGAAGGTCAAACCAATTTTTGGAATTAACTTGATCAACTCCAAAATCCAATGGTATGTGAAGTATTGACTTGTTCTTCTTGTAATGGTCTTCCAAATTACTTCTACAAGTATGGTATAAAAATCATTATATACATTTTGAAAATTATAAAAACTTAATACAATGACCGGGGGAAAACTCACTTCTGATCATGTCTAGCTAGAAGACCATCACGAACCCATTTGTCATATTCCTGAATGATTAACATAGGATGTGGCCCCGTTATTGAATCATCCTCAAAGGGGTGTCTTTTCTCAAAAATGGAGGTCAACTTTACTGAGGTACCTGTTGTACATTGAATTCGTGAGTAGGGAATTTTAAATTTAAAAGCCATGAGGAAAGCTGAAACTTAAGTTTATAAAATCACTTACCTCCCGAGTTGAAGTTAGACTCATAAGGCGAAGGTTCCATCTACTTGGTCGCCGATTCCTATGAGATTGTATTGGTGTTGCTTCAGCTTTTTTTGCACTGGCGTGAATCACAATTCTAGTTTCTGGAATTTGACTGGGAAGAAACTTGTCGTCCAGCTCAAATTGAGATACATAGAATTCTGTAGATACACCCTCTTGAACTGTAGATGGTATGTTGGACGACACCTCTGATGTAGTTTTCCACTCTCCTCTTGACTCCAAACATTTTTCTTTAAGCACTTGTTTCTGGTCATTGTATGTATCATTGTTAGTGTAGTAACTTAATGTTAGAATACAGTTAAATACATATAAGTAGCTAGAATACATTACACATATTCAAGATTAACAAATCAGAATACATCAAAATACAGCTGAAATACATTTAAAATACAGCAGTTAATTCCATTTACATTTTAAAGTTAACACAGATATGAATACAGCTAAATACAAATGCTCAATATGTTAAGAATGTTAAACCTCAACATTATCTCCGACATCTGTGTCAATGCCATCATCACGTGTCCCTTTGGGTTCAGTTTGCTGATTTTGTTGAAGATGGTCTGAAAGCTTCTTGAAGTTATCATTGATCAATGTTCTTAGAGACTCGAAATCTCCCACAACCTTAACAATACAAAAAAATTAGAAGATTGCGCCAAAAATATATGAATGGTAAGCATTAAACTGTAATGTTTAATTTGTGGTTAAATACTCACGTACTCTTTGAATGAATTTAGGTCTTTCCTCAAAGAAGATACTTCGTCATTTTGGCCTTCTGGCAGATGATTGTCATGCAAAACCTTATGTCCAATTCCGGAAACACAATCAGGAGGAATCTTGGGCTGATATTCTGTTTCATTATGATGCCTTTCGTGTTCCTTGCGCTTTTTATGGGGCGGTGATGAAGATGGACCAACAATTGCGACATGTTTCTTCTTATATTGAAGATCGGGTGTAGGAGAAAAGTCATCCAAATCCTCTCCCGATTTGTCTGAATGAGCAGGAGTAGGTCTGTTCACAACATCGGCGGCTACAGGAGGAATCTGAACAACGGCAAGCTCTATATCGCTTGGACTGATGTCCTTGAAAACAATCTGAAAAATGAAATATAATAAAAGTCTAACTAAAAACTTCCAGATGCAGATCTGGAATACAAAATGAAATTTCTATTGAAGATAAGGCAGAGTTGATGATTTGGAAATAATATGCATATGTATGACGAATTCATAATGAAGGCTACAACAGTTGTATATTGCTGTATGCATATGAATACAATTGTATGCAGTGGATGTATTCAACTGTATGCAGTTTCTGTATGCATTTGTATACAAGTGTATGCAGCTGATTATTAGTCCCTATGCATTTGTATACATGTATCTTGAATCTATATGCAAGTATTTATTTATGTAAGCATTTGTATCCAA